TACTTTAATAAGTCAATTATACTTCATGGTACTTCCACCATTAATTTCCAACTCAATTTGATTTTCTCCCAAAAACTTTAATTTCAAAAATTGTTTCTCTTATCTTATAATTGTGCTATGATCCATTTCCTAGGGTCATTTAAGTTTCTAATGCATAATTATCCTATATCTAACAATTTTATATATGCAGGGACTCTCAAATGGAGAACATAAAATCAGCGATTGATATTGTAAAGGACGTTGGCCTTACAGTTTGCAAATATGTCAAGTATCAATTTTGTCCCAGTGAGTTTGTGGATAAATTCGAAGCTAAGCAAAATAAGCTGAAGCGCCAACTCGAAGATGTTGAGGCAGAATTAAACACACAACTTAACCGGCCAGCAAAGAAAGCAAGGAGCCAAGTCAACAATTGGCTAGAGGAAACGCGCAAAGAAACTGCCGTAAAGGTTGAAGATCTGATCTGTAAAGAAGGCTATTTCAAAAATATTTGCTCATCAAGGAAGTTCCATAAAAAGACTCAAGCACTGAATGCAATATTTATGGAAGGAGGAAATTACACTAATGCTGGTCAGAGTTTGGTTATAGATGATCACTCAATTGAGTATTGCACGACAGTATTCAAAGAAAAGCAGGAGCAGCTGAAGCGCCGACACAAAGACATTGAGGCAACATTGAAGACTCAGCGTATTAAAGTTGGAAAGATTCCAAGGAAGGAAGTTGAAGACTGGATGGATAAAGCAAGCCAACAAATTGCTATAAAGGTTGAAGACCTGATCAGCCCAGGGGAACGTTCCTCATCACCCAACCTCGAGAAAAAGACTGAAGAATTAAAGCAAACATTTGAGCAAGGAGAAAAATACGCTAATGCTGGTGAGAGTTTGGTTGTAGATGATCACTCAATCAAAGGAGTTCCACTAGTCGTTGATGAATGCAGTGGCAGGGATGATGTACAAGATCAAATTCTGGAATGGTTGAAGGGAGACGAGGTTATAAGAATTGCAGTTTCGGGAATGGGTGGTGTGGGCAAGACAACAATTATGAAGCAAGTCCACAACCAACTGTTGAAAGAATCCAAATTCAACGAAGTTATTTGGGTAAAAGTGTCAAGAGACTTTGACATTTTTGTCAACCAAAAAAAGGAGTTTGATGTTCGCAGGTTTCAAAAGAGGATTGCAAGTAGCTTGGAACCAGCATTGGAGCTAAAGGATCCTGAGAATGTAACCAAGAATGCAGGAATGATTTCACAAAAGTTGAGGCAGGGCAGCTTTGTGCTAATTTTGGATGATATGTGGCAGCCTTTCTCTCTAGAAGATGTTGGAATTCCTAATCTAGTTGGAAATAATGGTTGCAAGCTAGTACTCACGACACGGTTACAAGATGTTGCTCGTGCAATGGAGTGTAAGGTGATACCTGTGAATCCTCTTCCACCTGAAGAAGCATTAGCATTGTTCTTGAAGAAAGTTGGAAGTGAAGTGTTGTCAGATGGCAGAATTAAAGTAGATATAAAGCCATTTTTGGAGCAAATTTTGCAGAAATGTGGTGGAGTACCTCTTGCTATAGTGACAGTGGCAAAATCAATGAGAGGGAAATTACTTCCTCGTAATTGGAAGTTAGCACTTTCTGAATTTAGTCAATTTAAAAGCATTGTTGATTGCTTGAAATTCAGTTATGAATGCCTAGAACCACAATGCCAAGAGTGTTTCCTATATTGTGCATTGTATCCTGAAGATTATGAAATCTCAAAGAAGGAGTTAATTGAGTATTGGATTGAGGAGGGGTTTATATATAAAGAAGGGAAAACTAGGGAGGCAATGAATTGGAAAGGACATGATATAGTTGATAAGTTGGTTGACAACTGCCTGTTGGAGTTGGTTAGAGGCGGTGAAAATTGGGTGAGTATGCATGATCTTCTCCGAGAAATGGCATTAGAAATCAGTCCTCAATTCTTGGTGAAAGCTGGCATGGCCTTGGAAAAGTTACCAGAGGAGGATGAATGGAGAGAAGATCTTTTGAAGGTTTCTTTAATGAACAATCACATAACAAAAATTCCTTCAAGCATGCCATCTCTGAAGTGTCCTATGCTCACAACCTTATTGATGTCCAATAACCGAATTTCAACAATTCCAGAAGCTTTTTTTGAGCATATGCTTGGGCTCAAGATTCTTGATATTTCCAATAATCGTGAGCTAAGTAGGCTGCCGACTTCTGTTTCCAAATTGGAGAAGCTTACTACATTATTGCTGGGGCATTGTAAGTCCTTAAGAGAGGTACCATCTTTATCCAACCTTGTAGGCTTAAAAAAGTTGGACCTTTCCTGGACATCAATTAAAGAACTACCCCAAGGCCTCAACACGTTAACAAATCTAAAATATCTTGGTCTTGGTGGAAGATTATCAGAAACACTTGATGAACAGCTACAAAATCTCTCCAAACTTCAGCATTTACAAGTATTTGCCAATCCCTATGCTGAAATAGATTCTAAATGGGAGACGATTGGAATTTGGGGGAAGCTTCAAAACCTTGAGAAGCTGCAACTTGGTTATTTGGATAACTTGAATATGGTGTTTGGGGAAGTAGGAGCAATTGCTGAGTCAGCACCGCTACTAGCTGGCACATTTTCCTCTCTTCAAGATATTAGTGTTTGGGGATGTAATAAAATAAAGATGTTATTCTCGGTTAAGTGGTTGGGATATCTCCAGAAACTACAGATTATTGTGGTTTTTGATTGTAAGCAACTGGAGGAGATAATAGGGTCTGAATCTGAAGGAGGAGAAAAAGTCACTCTACCCAAGTTAGAAAGGTTAGAATTGGCCGAATTGCCCCAATTGAAAACCATCTGTAGCGGTTCTTTGATTTGTGATTCCATCAGGAAGATTGAAATTTCCGGTAGCGAAAATATAGAGAGTGTTTTTTGGTCAGGGTTCAACCCACTTCCAAATCTTGAATATCTAAAACTTTCCTGTTTACCGAAGCTGAAATACGTGTTTGATGAAGAAGGTCTTGGTTTATCGCCACTTGTACCTCCCACAAGCTTTTTCTCTCTTAAAAAAATTAAGGTTATTGAGTGTAATCAATTAAAGAAGGTATTCTCATCTGGATGGCTGCTCCGCTACTTCCAATCTCTACAGACTATTGAGGTTGATAATTGTCTGCAAATGGAGGAGCTGATACCGTCATCGGTAGATGAAGAGGAAAAAGTCACTCTACCCAAGTTACAAAGGTTGAAATTGACCAAATTGCCCCAATTGAAGAGCATTTGTAGCAGCTCCAGTGTGTCGATTGGTGATTCCATCCAGAGTCTGACGATTCTCGACTGTGAGAAGCTGAAGAGGATTCCTCTGAATTTTCCCTTGCTTGATAATGCCCAATCATCTCATCCTTCTTCCCTCAAAGAAATTGTGGTATGGCCAAAAGAATGGTGGGAATCATTGGAATGGGACCATCCCAATGCAAAAGACATCC